ACTTTATCACTCTTTCTGTGAAAAACTTCTTCCTAACATCCAACCTAAATTTCCCTTGGCACAGCTTAAGGCTGTGTCCTCTTCTTCTTTCACAGTTGCCTGGGCAAAGAGAACAACTCCACCTGAGCACAGCCACCTTACAGGAGCTGTACAGAGTGATAAGGTCACCCCTGAGTTTCCTTTTCTCCAAGCTAGACACCCCCAGCTGCCTCAGTTGTTCCTCACAGGGTTTGTGTTCCTAGACCCTCTCCAGCCTCGTTGCCTCCTGCGGACATGCTCAAGCATCATAACATCCTTCCCAAACTGAGGGGCCAGAACTGGACACAGCACTCAAGGTGCAGCCTCACCAGTGCTAGGTACAGGGGAAGAATGACCTCCCCGGTCCTGCTGGCCAACACAGAGGTGGGGACAAAGTGAAGGAAGTCTCTACTTCCAGCTGAATGAAGAGCCCCAAGTACCTGGGAGCACAGAGAAACAAGCTCTGGAGGCAGCTCCTCATAGCATCAGCATGAGTTACCTGCAGTCACCACTTCCTCTGTCTAAAAGGCTATCTTACCTCAGAAGCAAGAGGCTGAGTGTGGCAGGGTTCAGCTGCCCAGGATGCTGTGAAATCCCCCAGGTCAACTCCTTCATCACACAACACAGGACTGTTCCAAGAAACTGCTTAATGCCAAAGTCTGACCTTTTCTATAAAATATTTTATTGTATCCTGTAAACTTCCAAGGACGAGGAGATAAAACCCTGTAACTCTAACCCTGCAACTAAGGGGCCAACAGACCTTGGGTCTCCACATTATCACTGGACATCCCAGGTCAGTCAAACCCTGACTGCAGCTTTACAGGCAATTCTTCCTGTTTAGGTTTTTAAGCTGAATTCCTCATGTGAATTACATCTTTGGGCCGTGACTCAGCTCCAAAGGGTAATTTCCTTCCCCTCCTGACACACAGGGCTGTTTCCCTGCCAGCCCAGCTACCCACCAGCAGCTCATGCAATATGCCCACCAAACAGCCAGCTAATTGCTTCAAAAGAAGAAGCCCCCTTGCTCTCCAATCCAACTCAGGGAGCCTGGACAGCAGCTCCAGGGTCTACAGCCCCCTCCTGCTTGGGGCTGCTCAGCAACCAGAGCAAGTTGAGGAGTGCTGAGGAAAGGGATGGGAAGCAAAGATGCACCACTGGGTAACATTTCTGCAAAAATTTACCTTTCAAAGACAAATTTAAAAGCCATTAAAAAGATAAAGCTGTAGAAAGCCAGAGGCTTCTTCCCCACTCAAACATGCAGAAGGGGTTTTGCACCTGGCACAAGCCTTAAACAAAATAAGGAATTCTGTTATCAGAGCAATGTGGAGTTACACAGAGCTGCAGCCAAGTGCTGTGAGGAAGGCAAAGGCCTACAGGGCTGAACTGGAGGCAACCCAGGGGATTTCAGTCTTGCAATGCCACCTTGTGGGAATCACTGCAACTCCTGCCGGGCTGGAATACAGCAGGCACCCAAGCAGGAGCTTTCTCAGCTAAAAAAAAGCTTTAAAGCCTTCCTACAACACCCGTGGTGTTATGGTGTTTTCCTCAGACTGAAACTCACTGTAACAAAACCTTTAATTTTGAGTTCTTCACAGGAGAAAAGAAGTTTTGCACAATTCAAGCTGACAAATCCAGACAGTGCTCCCTCCTACACCATGGGAACAGAGATAAAACAAATGCATTTTGGAAAGGCACATCAAACATCCTGAAAATTTAACTTGGCCCAGCAACAACACCTTAAGGCACTCAGATTAATTTTGACTATTAAACCTGTTTGGGTGTTATTGTGTTTACGGAAGTGTTGACATGGAATTTACCACTGCATTTCTGGAATTTAAATATGTACCAGCATTGACATGGAATTAACTGTGGAAGGTGATTCAGCTCTGCTCAGGTGAGACCCCACTTGTAGAGCTGCCTCCAGCTCTGGTGCCCTCAGGACAGGAAGAACACGGAGCCACTGGAGGAAGTCCAGAGGAGGCCAAGGAGATGTTCTGATTGGAACAGCTCTGCTCTGGAGACAGGCTGGGAGAGCTGGAGGTGTTCAGCCTGGAGAGGAAAAGGCACTGGAGAGAGTTTAGAGCCCCTACCAGTGCCAAAGGGGTTCCAGGAGAGCTGGAGAGAGACTGAGGACAAGGGATGGAGGGACAGGACACAGGGAATGGCTCCCACTGCCAGAGGCCAGGGAGGGATGGGATATTGGGAAGGGAGGCCCTGGCACAGGGTGCCCAGAGCAGCTGTGGCAGCCCCTGGATCCCTGGCAGTGCCCAGTGCCAGGCTGGACAGGGCTTGGCACAGCCTGGGACAGCAGAAGGTGTCCCTGCCCATGGCAGAGGGCTGGAACAAGACAAGCTTTAAGGTCCCTTCCAACCCAAAACAGTCTGGAATTCTGTGATTAAACTGAAGTGCCCAAAGACCATCACCACAGGGTACCTTCCCACTGGGACCAGAGTGCCCTCCACAGGATGAGAGCCTTCCACTGCAGCTCCCCAACCTGCCCATCAGTCCTTGTCAAATTTGGTTATCAACAGAGTTTTATAACACACAGATTTGTGAAACCCTCAGGAGAGGATTTCTGCCTCAGCACTTGAGGTTACTAGCACCTAGATCCTCCCCCAAATACAAGCTGCCTGTCCTTACCAGGTGACATAAAAGATGCCACCATGGGTTGAGAAGCAGCTGCATGTGCCCTGCAGACTGTTTCAAGAGAAACATTCTGGAAGGAGACAAGTCTCTCTCACCCAAGTAAGAGCACTGACAAGCACCCACAGAGAGCCTCACACCCCTGAGCCTTTCTGCACCTTCATGTACAAGGTCATCAAGCAATGGCCATTCAGTGCCTCATCAGCCGAGCCACATGCCCAGAGCATAGGAAAAGGGGGATGAAACAGGGCAGCACTCAAAGCCTCGGATGAGACATTGCCTTCAGCATGGCAACAACCCACTGACCTCCCCACCTGGGCCAGCTATGCTGCTGTCACCAACCAGGGTGACACATCCACGTCCAGCAGTGGCACCTGCCCATCTCACTGCATCCTCCCCTCTGGAATGGGCAGGAACCATCCAGATGCCCACCCAGGACCCCTGGGCAGGGCTGAGGGCACTCACCACTCAGCTCTGGGGGAGGGCTCAGGTAGAAGGTGCAGTAAATGTCATTGTGCATCTGCAGCTCTGCATTCATGGGCTTCTTCAGCAAGTCTGGGATCTTCTCCTCCTGGAAAGGAGTCTTTTCCAGGATGACAACAGCATCTGTGCCCTCTCCAGAGAGGCCAGTCCTCTGGAATATGAATGGATAAAGTCATCAGCAAACACAGATCCAGCACTGGGTGGACAGTTTGAGGTCAGGGATCACGGCAGACACCTCACAGCCCCCTAGACCTCGTGACCAAACCCCCTGCAGGGCAGACACCCATCCAAAAATAAACAGCACATCTGCCCAGAAGCACAGCAAGAATTTGCTCCCACCAGGGAACACAGGTGGTTTTTGGGGGAGCAGGGGATGTGGGCAATGACTCAGCCCATCTGCACCTCCCCGGATGCTCCCAGGTTTCCTGCTGACCCATAGCACCAATTTCATCTCTGACACTTCCCAGAAAGAGGGAAAGGCAGGCGTGGGGATTTGCATCATAGTCAGAGAGCAAGTTCTGGGGCAGGGAGCACTTACTGCTGCCCTGCTCCAAGGAACCACAGCCCCTGATCCAGAGGCCTCAGTATCCTGGTTTTGGGAGGTGCTGGGTGTAGAACATCCCCCAGCATCATTCCTGTCTGTACAAGACCCAGGTGAGGCCTCACCACACCACCTGGGGCTCCCAACCCGGTCAGCTTGATAAGGAAGACGTGTGCTAATGCCTTTAACAAACAATTTTATGGGTGTTTGAAATGTGTATTAATGCCTCTATTAACTTTGGGCAGTTTGGTTCCTGAAAGAGACAAGAGTCTGCACAAGCCTGAACCTCTGAACTTTGAGGGGAAAATGACAGGTTTAAGGGAGGATATGGGGTGGGCGGTTTGGGAAGGCTCCTGGTACCTCAGCCAGTGGGAAAGGAAGGGCAACAGACAGCCGGGAGTTAGGATAAAAGGGAGGCTTCAAAAGCTCGAGACAGAAAACCCTGCGGGCATGTGCCCCAGTGGACTCTCTCCCTGCACTGGAATAAAGTGGAAGGACTCCTCTATTTCCTTTTAAACATATACCTCTGGCGCTTGTGGATTTTTCTGACACGCTCACAGGCAGAGCAGGTCTGTGCCCACCGACTCCAGACCATAAAAGCAGCCTGGAACCTCCCCATCCTCATCTCCTGCTTGGATGCTTCGGGAGACAGGTGCCGAGGCAGCTGCACGGTTCCCTCGCCATGCAGAATCCCAAGAATTCTGCACATTTTCCTGCAATGGCGGTACTATTTACAGTCCTAGAATCAGCACGCCGCTTGCAATCCATTGACACTTTAGCTACCAAGCACGAACGGCGCGCTGGAATCCAAAAACACCAAATCACACCGACAAGAAAGGATTGCGATGAGGTCTCCAGCCGCCCGCTCCGCCTGTTTCGGGCAGGGCCGGGCTGGAGAAGCGGGTCGGGCCCGGCTGGACCGCCCCGGGGCTGCCGGGGCGGGGCCGCGCCCTCAGCGCGGAAAATGGCGGCGGCCGCCCCCGCCCCCCCACCGCCCGCTACCTCCGCGTGCAGGAACACGGTCTTGTCCCGCGCCGACTCCCGCAGGACGCGCCGCACCCGCAGGTCCGAGAGCGCGAAAGCGGCGGCGCCCTGAGGGGCGTCCCCGCCATTCTTCTGCTCCTCCTCCTCCCGCTTCCTCTTCGGCTGCGGGCCCTCCGCCATGGCTCGCGCCCGCCCCCGCACTGCGCACGCGCGGCGCCCCGGGGCGCGCCGGCTCGCAGCGCCCCCTGGCGGCTCGGAGGTCGCGCGCCCCCGCCGCTCCTTCCCCCACAAACGCCCGAGCGGGGGATTGAGACAAAAACACGGAAAACCGTCAAAATTTAAAACTTCTGCATTTTCGCAGTCGCAACGTCACTGCCTGCCTCATCTTCTTATGCCCGCAGCCCAGCAGGCGCTTTGTCAGCTTAGCAGGAGTCCCAGAGCCCTCAGGACAGAATGCCAGTGCAGTGAAGAGCTCTCATGACCCCGAGAACCACCCAATACCAGAGCTTAGTGTTTGTGTGACAAATGTCCCTGTCCCTGCTGAGGAGATTTTGGCCACCGGGACGTGGTGGGCTCTGCTCTGCTGTCCATCATGGACGTGGAGAACTCTCTATCCTTGGTCCCAGATCTGGTCTGAGCAGCTCAGGTTTGACCTCAAGGTCCAATGGGACACAGCAACATCCAGATCCAGCGGTGACAGCTCCATGATGCCCATGGGAATTCATCTGCCTGCTCACAGCACTACTCCATGCTTTTTGTGGAGCTCCGGCACAGTTCCTGGAGGTCTGCAGGGACAGCAGATGAGCTCCATTAGCAAACAATTACTCTAAAAATCAATTTTAAATAAACATATGGTATCTGGTCCCTTCCCATGGTCCTCACCCCAATGGACTGACGTTTCACCAGCATCCCACAGGATACTCACAGCGCATGATAGTGTCTCTGATCTGCCTGAAGCTCTTCTCCTTCAGCGCCATGTAGATGTAGTAGATGTTCCGCAGTTCCCTGGGATAATCCTTGCGATCCACGTCCTTCAGCACTGGGATGGTGCGTCCATTGGCCATGGGAGCCTCAGCCAAGGCCTGGTGCATCTGGTACCTGCACCAGGGGTCCTGCAGGAAGCCGGGGGTTATGAGCATGACCCAGCAGTGACTGTTCTGCACGGCGTCACACAGCTCTGTCACCACCGCGCTTCCCACCACCGCATCCCGCAGCTGCAGGAAGCAACGGAAGCTCTCAGGCTGGCCCTCCAGGTAGGACACCAGCTCCAACACCAGCTCCACGTCCCCCTCGCTGTGGCAGATGCAGACGTCGTAGCTCTTGTCCCAGCGGGGACTGTCTGAGGCGCTGATGTCCACTACTGACACTGGCGACAGCGAGATGCAGCTGGTGTCCAGGCTCGTGCCAGAAGAGCTGGAGCTCTTGGCAGAGGATGAGGAGGAGGAAGGCGAGGATGAAGCAGAGTGGTTGGACTTGAGGCTTTCCACTGAGCTGGGCTTGGGTTTGTGCAGGAGCCGCCTAAACCAACCTGCAGAGTGAAGTCACAGTGAGTTTCAGGGGCTCAGCACCCCCTGGACTTCCCAAGTGCAGCACCATTCAATCTGCAGGACTCCCCCAGATGGAAAGGGGAGGGTGGGATCTCACCTTGACCCCCAAAACCATCCTGGTCCCTGAAACTGAGCTGCCACCAACACGTGAATGCTGTGGCATGGTGAGGAGCAGCCCATGGGCACCCTGGTGTTCTGCTGGGGAGGGGATGGTGTGAGGGAGGGGACAGAGCCAGGCTTATTCCCAGACTCACCAGCCATAGTGGGCAGCACGCTGCTCAGCCACTGACTGCCAGCAGGACAGCTCTCCTGAGAGCAGAAAAGAGGAACAATAAACTGAGAGCAAGAACTGCTTCATGGCAACTCTCACTGAGCCCCAGAAGCTCAGTGTGGTCTGTTCCAGGGATCTGCACCTCCGGGGTGCTCTTAAAGCCCCAAAATCACCCCCAGTACATCTGTCTCCCCAAAATGGGCTGGCAACATTTACCTGTTACTGGCTCTCTCCACTGAAGATACACACCTGCAGCAAGCGAGGCCAAGAGAGTATGGGGAGGAGAAACCCTCATCCCCATCAGTGGGAAAAAGATCCTGTGGAGGGGAGAAGTGGAAATGAGCTGGGATCACCAGGGATGGACTGGGTTCTGGCAGACCAAAGGCACGGTGGGTGATGCCCAGAGCTGTGCATCCTTGGTGCTCCCTGCCCTGGCATTCCTGTCTGTTCACACCAGCTGACACCATCCTCGGCACTGTGCTCCCAGCACGGTTTGGGGAGCCCAGACACTCCCTGCAGACACCCAGGAACAGCAACGTGGCAAACAGCTGCTGTTTTCCACTTCTGGTATCACCCCTTTCGAAATGAAACGCCCCAAGTCATGCTGAAGCCTTTCCCTTACTCCAAAACTGGCCCAGGACTGTAGGAAATGCCCACAAAACCTCAGCACACCCACGGAAACCACAGTGCCCAAGTGTCACCATTTAGTGACAGCCAAAAGCTCAAGTGTGACTGGAGCAATGAGCATGGACAGTGAGCAGTGGGGGGAAGTTGGAGGGATGCTTACCTGGAACGCAGGAGTCTGGCACCGGAGCAGAGAAGGGGATGCATCAGCCCCTGGGTTTGGCAAAGAAAGATCTTCTGGGATTACCTGGGTGGAAAGGGACAGGTAGAACGTTCACTCTGCAGTCTCGTGGGATCTGCAGTGAAGCGCGAGGCTGATCCATCCTTGGAGCTGCCACATCCAGGAGCAGTTCCCAGTGAAGCTGCCCTGGGCTGGAAATGAGGGCAGGGCCACTCACCTGCCTCCCCAGGGACAGACTGGAGGAGCTCCCCAAACACCCAGGTGCCCCCAGCTCCAGCCTCTGCTGGGGAATGTGAAAGCACAGGCAGGCTAAATGGGCCAGGACTGTGGGGAGGGGAAGCCAAGCCCTGCCAAGGGCCTCCCTCCCACATCCGCCACATGCCGTCACTGTCTGAGTGTCAGTGCCCAGCCCTCACATCTGCTTTTCTCTCTGGTTTCCTGACTAAATACACACAGGTCCATGTTTGCCACTCACACTTATTTTATTAGTTAAATTTACCTAACAAGTCATTTATCCACCCCAAAATCCTCCCTGTATTTCTCCTTCCCCAGGTCTCATTCCTGTGATGCTGCTGGTGGTGGCCAACAACTGACACTGCCTTCATCTCCTCATCATCCTCAACCCCTCCAATACCTGGTGGTTCCTTCTCAATGCCCTCTGAGAGATGAGCTCCAGGTGAGTCCTGGTTCCATCCCCCATCCAGGGCCCACATGCCCATCCAGCTCCCTGACAGGCTGTTCCTGGCACAGGAGATTTCCCCATCTCTTCCCTGCCTAGGGGACAATGCCTGGGCCTCTGATGTGGACACTAAACCCTCCACCTGCTGCTGCAGTGTCACTGTGGCCAAGCTGGTGATCCAGGAGGTGACCCACACCTCATGGGACAACAGGAGGTGGGGGCCTGGGGGTTCAGCCCCAGTACTGAATTTGTCCCTCCCTCTCCCATCAGGGTGAGGTGTTATCCTCACCCTGGATAACAGCAAAGCCCCCTGACGTCGGATCCCCAGAGAGCATGGCCCTGGCATTCACATGGGAGCATCTCCAGAGTGAGCCCAGGGTGGACCAGAGCACAAAGCTGGGTCAGCATCTCCCTCACTCTTAACCCTGGAGTGGTGGCCATCACACCCCCACTGTACACAGTACCACAGAGCTCCCACTGTGGGGTCCCCACCTCTACACCAGCAGGGAGAATCACAGAACCCCAGAATACTTTGGGTTGGAAGGGACCTTAAAGATCATCTTGTTCCAAAGTCCCTGCCATGAGCAAGGACACCTTCCAGTAGTCCAGGTTGCTCCAAGCACTGACCTTTGAAGGCCTGGCCTTGGCACTTGGTCATGCTCACCTAACTCAAGGTGTTCGTGGAGAGGGCAGTCCATGCCAGTGCCCATCACCTCAATTTCAGGACTGCTGCACCTGCCCCCAAAACACACCTCAGTGTCCCCCATCTGCTTGCAAGCTGACTGGGACAACAACCCCCACACCTCCATGCCTGAAGGGAAGTATTTCCCTCAGGGAAAAGTCCCTGTCCTCTGACCCCCAAAAATATCCCCCCACCCCAGTTAACCTCAACACCCCATGCCAGGGCTAGTCAAGACTCCCTTTCATCAATGCCACCATGAGCCAGCTGTGCCCCAGGACTGAATCCACCTCCTTGCCTGGCACACTACTGTTTGCTTCCTCACCCCCAGGGACCTTGGAGTCTCCTGGGAAGGAGGGCTGAAGATCCCCCAACACCCACCAGCACCTGTCAGGCTTTTGGGGACCAAATGACCACCCAACCACTGGTTCTCACAGGTCTTTGAAGAACTCCTGTTGGACACTGAATGTTCCCGCCATGCTAACACCTGGCTGTGGCTTCCACAAGTATTTCCTTGTCTACTCACCCACCACCTTCAGCAAAACGACAGACCAGAGCACAGTAGCACAAAACCATGTGACATGGGGGGCACTCCCTGATGGCTTTGACCCCTTGCCACAAACACCTCCCCATCCCAAAGGATTTCCCAAGCCAGGCCATCTGTGAGCCCTGGGAGGCACCTTGGGGGTGCAGGAGCAGGCAGGATCCTCCTGCAGGGCCCCCAGCCCACCCTCAAACACGCTGCTGAGAGCCAGAGGAACCTGGGCAGATTGTGCCCAAAAATGCACAGTGAATTCCCCAAGAGACACTGGGCTCTTCCCCACCCCTTCACCTGCCTTTCCACCAAGCAGGGGACACCAGTTGGCCGCTTGGTGGCCAAATCCCAAAGGAAAAAGCACAAGGTTGAGTGGTACTGAGCCCCACAGGCACCCACAGGCTGCCAGTCATGGCCCCAGCACCACTCATCTCACTAGGACCCATTTCCCAATAGTCCCTGCCCTGGCACTGCTGCCACCACCCCAAAAATCAACTCCCGAGGACAGGACCCAGAGGAGAGCAAGTCACCTGCCTGTGTGAGTCATCCCACAGCGGGAACCCACAAACCCTAAACCCCAAGGGGCAGCGCCATCTGGATCAACCTCCAGCCTACCTCAGCAATAATATGATCATTATGAAAGGAGTAATTAAGCAGGCACAGCTGTGCTCACAGCCTGCCTTGACCCACCAGCAGCAGCACACGCTGAAATCCCTGCAGCAGGAGTTTCGGAACCTGTGGTTTACAGGATCGCCTCTGGAATTAAGAAACGGTGACAACCAGGTGCTGCAAGGCAGGGTGAAATAAAGGTGGTTCTGTTGACAAAATAAAGCTCATTTAATCCCTAAAAACACCACGAATGTTTCATTTACGGTGCCAGTACAAAACAGTGCGTAACCACCCAGAAATCACAAAGTAATTTTTCTCCTGGGAAACTCTAAGTACACCCAAATTCCACCACACCTATGCTTGAAATCATCGTAGCGGCTGTCCAGGCCCAGGCACCGCATGTACCTCATAGGGCTGGAGACGCGGTCACACGTACACCAACCCAGGCAACGGCAGCTGGCGGAGGAGAAGGCGCTGAGGGGTAGAGGGGCACGGGGACACCGCGGCCCCGGCCCGGCCAAACAGACACACGGACGGACGGACGGGCGGGCAAGCAAACAAACAAACAAACAAACAAACAAACAAACAAACAAACGGACGGCCGGACCGACCCGCTCGGCGCCGCCCCCAGCCCGCCACTGCGCCGCGCATGCGCGGGCGCCTTTTATAGCCGCGCGGGCGCCGCGAGATCACCGCGGCGTTCCCACGCCTGGCCCCGCCTCTTCCGCCGCCAGCCAGTGAGCGGGCGGGGCGGGGGGCGGGGCGGGGGGCGGGGGGCGGGGCCTCGTCACGCGGGGCGGGGCGGCGTCTCCTCAATGGGGGCGCGCGCGCGGCGCCAGGTGCGTGCGGGGCGCGCGGGGGCGGGCGGGGCGCGGTTGCCATGGAGACAGCGGGGGGGGGAGCTGTTGCCATAGCGACGGGGCCGCCATAGTGGGGGGGGTCCCATGGCCGCCGGGCTGAGGGGACGAAGCGGCCTGAGGGGAGCGAAGGAGGCCGGGGCTGAGCCGGGGGGCCGGGGAACCTCTGGCCCGGCTGAGACGCCCCGTCGCCCTCTATAAAAGCTCGTTTTTATTGATGTGTCCCCCTGGGAAAGGAGCCTCGGTGTCCTCCTCCCCGCCTGCTGAATCCCCGTGTTGTTGCTTTCCCCGCAGCTTTAGCGAGGAGGGCACAACGGAGAGCACAGGTAAGGGCTCGAACAAACCCGAAGGTGTGAGCTCCCTCCCCGCTTCCCTTTGCAGAGTCAGTTCTGGGAAGCCAGCGTGCGTCCGAGGGAGGCGGTGGGACACAGAGCTCAGCCAGGCTTTGCTGTGTCACTGCCTCTCCTCGCCCATGGAGCCATTGGGAAGCACGTGGGGAATCGCAGCGTTGAATAAAAACCTCTGGTGTGTTTTGACTCGGGTCCAAGGAGGCTGAATCCTGTGGTTTTGTGGCTTGGACAAGAGCAGAGCTTGTCCTCAGTCCCATTGTCCGTAGAGCCTGTGTTTTTCCAGGATGGTTTTGGTCCAGCTCCAGTGCAGCTCCCACGTGGAGGTAGGCTTGGGAGTTGGCCAGGGACAGCTCAACTTAAAGCTGAAACATAGTGGCTTTTAAACGACCTTATCTCAACACCTTAAAGCCACTGAATTGAAAAAGAAGCCGGGAATTACCTCTTTGCGTGTGGCAGTTCTCAGCATTTAAATAAGGTAAAAATAATAAATGAACAGTAGGCTTGTACTTGTTTCTTTTGAGAATTTGTGTATGCTCTTCTGGAAAAGCCCATTTTCCAGCATGCAGCTGGATCACTTGGCTTCAATTTTAAACATCCAGGTGTAGCTTTAGTTGTGTGTTGGGTGCTGAGCATAGAGATGGACTTCTCCATGAGGTGGGGGAGAAAATGTGCTATTAATTCCCCATTTTGGTTCTGCAGGCTGGGCTCTGTGTTGACTGTGTGGCATGGTTGTGTTTTACAGAGCTGCAGAGAGGTTTTTGTAAATACACACCCTGTGTGAACCTCAGCCTTTGTTTGACACGTGTGGTGTTCAGGTGTTTGCTTTTACCTGGGATACACCTTCATATTTCCAACATTTCTGCAGCTGGATGTCTGTGTCACACAGGGAGTTGCTGTGATGGGGTTTCTCCAGTTTTGGTGACTTGGGCACAGTTTACAGCTGAAGTCTGGAAAGCTTTAGGATAAATTGAGGGATTTCTGTGGTGTGGAGGGAGAAAGAGAACGCAGCAAACCCACACAGGGAGTCTCTTTTAACCATGATAAAAATGATGGAGATAAGGCTGGGACAGCGGAACGGGGCAGCTGAGCCTGGAATCCATGGAGTGTTGTGTTTACAGTCCTCAGCTCCCTCTAGTCTAAATAGCTGGAAAGTTCCCAGTGTCTGAAGAAGGCTGGAGGGGCGCTTCTTATCTTGTAAGTGCCTGTGGCTCCCTCTCCTCCATGGCACCTGTGTTCCCAGGGGAACCTGCAGTACCTGGTGTGGTTTTTTTCCCATGGCAGTGTCATGCTTTGAGGTAATCCCATTTAATTTTGGCTACCTCAGCTGTGCCAGCACAATCCATCCCCCTGGGGAGCAGAGTTTCTCCCCAGGACTGAAAAACAGAGGTTTCTATTTCTTGGCTGAATCCCCATGAATTCTTTTTAAGACATGTAATAACTTTTTTGGAACTAGGCTGTATTTATAATGGGGATTTTGTTCCTTTATGGATCTCTGCACTAAATAATAGACCTGAAGGTTGAAGGTCATTATATCAGAAAAACTTAAAAGAGGATTATAATTCCAAAAGGTGTTTTTTCCTAAGTTTAAAATTGCTTTTGAAATGTCATTTAGAGGTACTTAAAATTGATTTGATGGCTCCATTCCTGCTGTTAATAGCATGGGAATGTGCAGGGTGAGTGAGATGCGAGCAGTGCTGAGGCAGGTGGAAGCAAACAGGGGAGCTCTAGGTGGGATTTTACAAACAGCCTCAATATCCGAGGCTCAGCTGATGATTCACAATGCAAAGATAATTATAAGCTTAAATTTTATCCAATTCAGAAAGTGAGGAAAGATTTACCTTTGGTTGTAGCTTGGCTTCTGCAGGGGGGCTGAGGGCAGACCTGGCACCAACAGGAGCTCCAACTTCCCTCTGACACACTCCAGTTATCTCTTGTTAGTCCCTGCCTCATCTGAAGCATCTTTGCACCACTAAATAAAATCTGGCTGGCTTTGTGAAAGCAGCCTGTCCTTCCAGAAAAATCAGCTAATCCAAAAGAAGAGATGGGACCCTCCTGGGAAGGAAAAAGAGGGGCTTTCCCCCCCTTCATCCTGAGCGTGCTGGCTGCATTCACTTAGCGGGGATTTGATGGTGAATCTGGCAGATCCTGTGTCCAGCAGGTCCTCCTGTCTTCCTGAGAGTCTCTACGTTGATCTTTGGAGATGTAACCCCCCCAGAATAGTTCACCTGAGGCCTGACAGGTTGCAGGTATTCAGGGGTGATGAAGCTACAGAGGTTCATTGTCAGAACAGCACTGAGTTCCTGGGCTCAATGTGGGTTGGAAAAATACAGAGTACAATATTCACAAGAGGGTGTGATGGAGGAGCCCTGCCTGGCCTGCACAGAGAGGGGAAAACCAGGAGATTCCTCATTTGCTAAAGGCCTTTGATACTTTTATCCAAAATCTGGGCCCTAGTGTAAGGCCCAGTAAGATAAAAAGGTGATTATTTGGAGTGATAAGTAGCACATGTTCAGTAATGTTTCAGTAGGTAGGTAGTGAAAACCAGTTCTTTGAGGTGTTCTACTTCTGGTACAATGATTTATTATTGAGCACTGTGGTGTGCTGGAAGGTGTCCCTGCCCATGGCAGGGGAGTGGAACGACACGAGCTCTAAGGTCCTGTCCAGCCCAAACCAATCCATAATGCCATTGTATAAAGTTTTCTGAAGGGGTCACAAGGTAAAGGCTGCACACACAGTGTATCTGAGCCTCTGACAGTGTCACCTTACCCTGTTCTCGTCATCCAGCACTGAAAGGTGGTGCTTTCCTAGAATATTGGCTGGTTGCTCACATGATCCTGCCAACACTTGTAGATCCTACCTGGAGATACCTGCCCATTGTCACCTGCTGGGCTGCTGGGGAGCAATCACAACATCTCATCTCTAGAACAAACCCTCAGATCTCCCTGAGATGGCAAAACCTGCAAAAACTCTTTGATTTTAGGTCAGCAGCTCTTCCTCAGCATTTCCTTTGTCCAAAAGCCCTTGTTGTTTTTGATGGACTCTTCATTACAATTGGCAAGAAAAAAAGCAGAGGAGGGTGAACAATTCTGTTCATTTCCATTCCCTTTTCATAGACTTATTTGGGAGAAGCAGAGTGGGAGAGTGCTGCGTGCTGGCAGAGCTTTTGTATTTTATGTGACGGGCTGTTGAAAGAGTTCTCAAACTGCACTTCCTTTCCATGGGCTTTAAGGTCATTTCCCAGTGCTTGCAGACTCATGGCGGGCTGGGAAACCCTTCTCTCATCACCAGGGAATGAAATGCTCTCCGTGGCTTTTTGGAGCCAACAAAAATCTCTTTGTCTTCTCTTCCCTCCCACTGTTTCCCAAGCAGCAAGTTTGCTGACAGACCTTGTCAGGAAGGGGGGAGTGCTGCTCCAAGATCCAGGCTCTCTGGGAAAATGAGTGGATGAGGTGAAACGAGGGGTCTGGCAAAGTGTGTTTTGCTGAGGCAATCACACCTGAGAAAAACAGCCAAGAATTTTATGGTAAAAGAGGTTAAGGAAGAGGATGAGACTGTGGGACAAAGTTCAGAGACAAAAACATGCAATTCTCAGCCTGGAGGTGATCGTGGAACGATAAGAAAACTGAGATTTATCCACCTGTGCAAAGCTGGTTCTGTATAACCTTGTTGTCCAGGTGGTGTTGTTCATGTGCAGTGACTTTGCTTGTGGTGATTTTTCTACTACAGAAACTGGATGGCTTCTACAGTGAGCCTGGGCAAGGAAACGTTATTGGAAGATGGAATGCCACCTGCAAAAAAGCCCAGGTAAATTTAATTATACCCCAGTGAATTTGTTCTAACAGGAGCCTTTTCCTTTGCCTTGCATTGTTCTTTAAGGATTGTGACTCCTGGGGCCACAGCTGTTTCGTTTCCTGATCCAAGAACTGTGTGCTGGCTGCTGGCCGTGCCTGGGCTTTCCTGCTGTTTGTGGAACACAGCCTTCACGCCCAGAATGTACTTTTTTGGAGTTTTAACCCTCAGCCAGGGGATGGGGTTGCACTCAAAGCTGGATTTTGCTGTCTTGTCTCCAGGGTCCCATCCACTCGCAGTGTCAGGTCGGACACGGTGGTTGTGCTTCTTTGCTTGAGTTGGATGGTGGTTTCCAGGAGGACAGGGAGTTACTCAAATTAATATGGTTTAATTGCATGTAAAGGCTAAATAATTCATGCTGAAGCTCCCTGTGCTTCAAAGTAGGTGGTTTTACAGTTCTGTGAGTGAGGACCTGGCTGGTGGATAATTCTGCCTGTCTGAGACTGTGGCTGCTGCATGCTCAAAAGTTGTTTTGAACAAGCAGCTAATTCAACTGCAGGGTTGTCTCCCACTAATTTAATTTATTTGCAAGTTCTGGAG